TCGAAATTGAATGGGAGAATGCACGTTTTAAACAGCTTATTGTACAGGTACGTTCATCATCGTTCTAATCTAATGCGCTGCTGCACTGTAACGCACACACATAGGCTTCAGACAGTAGCGCGTACATCACGCGCACAGAATCATTCAGTGCGGAAATGTATTGTCAACACTGTTCTGTGATTTCTCAATAAAATAGCTTAGAAACTGAAAATATACTATATTTACTATAAATACTATAACTATATTTCTTAATAACTAAATTCCACAGCTTCACTACTAGTAGAGAGACGCTGCCAGGTAGAATTAATTCACACACGCAATCGCTCTCACTAATGCATTCATATTAATGTAATCTTTACTGTGCTACTTTATCTGTATCTGATTTAGAATGAGCAGAAATCTGTGAGAAATATAACGACTTAAAGACAAAAGAACTGATAAAAAAAAGCTGTTATAGGAGCAACAGCCATAGCTGTGCACAAAGTGTTTGTCACAGCTCCAGACTTATTTGTTCATTAATGACGTCATCAGCAACTAGTCGACTTCCACTCGACTTTCATCACATAAAAGTCGACTTTAAAAAATCAGAAGTCGTTCAACCCCTACTACAAACACATGTTCTCTTTCAGAGAAATACCTTCATGAGAGTGAAAGGCAGAGTGCAGCTGGCAACCTACAGGATGAGACAGCAAGGGCTGGAGGTGTCCTCAATGTTCCTGGATGATGTGGATGCCCTGCCACTTACATATGAGAAGGGCCAGTATTTTGCTTTCTTAGAGGACTATGGAACACACTTCACCAAGAACGGAAAGTCTGGTGGAGAATACGAACTTGTTTATATAATGAATGAGGATGTCCGCAAACTAAAAAGTAAGTTAAAAATCAAATTTCATTAGTTTTTTGTAAAATATGGAGACAAAGATATAGGCTACATGATTCAATGACAAGGCATTAATGAGAAGCATAGCTCAAGTTTTCAGCCTGAAAGTCTCATTAAAATATTTGTTTTTATTTGATGGTTCAATTTAATCTGATTGCAGAGGTCACAGAATCCACAGTTAAGGAATGTTTAGAGCTTGGATTTAAGGGTGACTTCCAATTTACTCAAGCAGTAAAAGGAGGAGTACACATTAAACCAGCAAACTGTGATACACTAACAAAAAAACCCACAGGTGTGTATGAGTATACATTTTTAACAGTAAGCTATTAGGATTGTTCACTCAAAACTGAACAATAAAATGGGGTCCAGTGTTATTTTGGCCCCCACTGACTTTCATTGTATTAATAAAAACAGTTAATTTACAGTAACTTTACTATTTGTGTAAAGAAAAAAAGGTTTGGACCTGAGGATGAGTAATTGAAGATAGAATTTACATTTTTGTTTGAACTATCCCTTCAAATTAATCAGACACATGCTTTCTGATAAAAAGATAAATTGCTCAAAACCTTGTTCACCAGATGACAGGAACACGAAGGCGGTTATTGATAAAGTGCTGATAGCAGTGAGAGGGGGCAGTCCGGCTTCAGCAGTAGCCATGAAGTCTCAGCTCACTAAAGATGGCATTCTAGACTATAATCAGTATGTGGAATGGGCAAAGACCGTATCTGCTCTGCCAGCTCTCATTCACAGTGATGTGAGACTCGCCTCGCCTTTACTTTACTTGCCAGTGCATGCGTGGTAACTGCTGTAATGGAACACAATTTGTTTTCATTGTTGTGTTGACAGCCTGAACCCATCTACAACGCGATCCCTTTGGACTTTCCTGATGCTCAGCCGAGACGGGACAATCTCAGAAGAGCCGTGGATGACTATGTGGCCGAGTACAGCGTGTGTAAGTGCCAGCCGTGCCAGAACGGTGGCTCTGTGATCCAGGTAGATGGGGAGTGTAAATGCATGTGCCTACCAGGGACTGAAGGTGTTGCGTGTCAGATCATTGAACTGGTGAAAGGTGTGTGTTTCTGTGTGAACCGTCCTGTAAAACTTCCATAGCATTCATTTGTGTTGGTTTGAGTTGAGCGTTCCATCTGTCTGTTCAATCACTTCTAGCTAAGTCTTTTGAACAACTGGGAAACTGGGGCTGTTGGTCTTCCTGGTCGCTCTGCTCCGGGGGGCGTCGCAGACGAACGCGCACGTGCGATACTCGCGGTGTACCAGGAGGAATCTGCAGAGGAGACACAACTCGTGAAGACTACTGCTAATATAGTAGTTCAAATACACAAATAATCATGAGATAATAAAAGTGTTGTGTACAAAATAAAATGCAAATTACAATTGCATGTACATTCAGATAGTTCTCTCATGAAGAGCGGTTTAGAGAAACACATGTTTGACAACACTGCCATCTTGTGGTCAATAGTGCAACCGAAAATAGTTGCACTACAGAAACAGTAAGCTTTTCTCATATTAGCTACCTGACTTTTTGCCTACCACGGCCGTAACATACAGTGATGGTTTCACAAATAAATTTCATGTCACTTTAAAATATGCCATGGTATGATATTAATTCACTAAATACCATTACCTATATAAGTTTAGTTAAACTAAAGAGTGTGTTTCCTCCTCTCCCACATCATACTCGTAACAACAAGGTGATATGAAAATCAAAGAAAAACTGGTGGTAATTATCCTGTCTGTTAGTAAAGCCACAAGATTTACTCACATAAACAAGAATTTACTAGAGGATGAATGTCAGTGAATGAGACCTTTGCATCTTTGATCACTTTGACTGTGAATTGATAGTAACCTTAACCAGACGTTAAATGATATGACTAGAATCCACTTACACAATACAAATTTTTAATGAATTACCATCCTCATATTATTATTTATATAATATAATAATATAGCATATTTGAACGTGTAATTTAAAGAATAGCCTTTTTTAATGAGAACTATTGTTTGGGGGCACACAAAGAAGAAATGAATGTATGAGGAATAGATATGATGTTGAAGTAGATGGCTCACTTTTCACTCTTCTTGGGCCTCTAGAGGTCAGGTTAATAGAGTAGCACTCTTAGCTCCCTATTGAGCCTCTGAGAAGCTCCTTTCAGCTTCAATACCCTTCAAAAAACACATTATATTCAATTTAATTAATGTTTATTTGTATAGTGCTTCAAAATTGTTTCAAAGCAGTTTTACAAAAAAATGCATTTTTCTACATTACAAATAATTTGTTATCAGAGGTGACTCGCAGACGTGTGTGTGTGTGTATATATATATATATATATATATATTCAGATGTAATAATATTGATCAGAGAAAATGAAAGAAAGGGAAAATATCTCAAAGCAATGAGCTAAAAGGTGCACCTCCTGCTTCACCCCTAAAGAAAAAACTAAAATGTCCCAGTGCAGTCAGATTCTAACTTCCCTGAGGTCATGGCATCCATTGAAGTTTCTAAGAGCCGTCACGCCACATTACCTTTCCCATCTGTCTCAGAACCGTGAAAATTAAGCTATGCCCCATGTCAGCACAGTTTTGTCTCTCCTCTCACACTCTTTTCACTGCTCCCCTCTTTTTCTTCATCCCCTCGATGGAAGAAAAATTAGACATAGAAGAGCAATCAAGTCATATGCACCCATGCAGTCCAGCTCACTACTGCAGACTAAAGTATGCTGATGGTGTGGAAGGGTCCTCTGTTTGTCCATGTAGGGTCATTCAGAAAAGGCCCTTCACTGCCTGCCCTTCCCCCAAATTCCTTCTTTAAGAACCCCTTAAAAACCAACCCCCTCTTCCCATCCACTGGCCTGACAACCGAAACCTTTCTTTCTCCTGCATTCCCCTCTCAAAATGTTTTCATGTTTGGTTTATGTCAACAGCTGAAATGTACTATGGATAAAGTTTCCACAAAGAGAAACTGCTCCATGTCTCATTGCTTATGTAACACTATGATGTAGATGAACTGTGTTCAGTTGAGAGGACTATTGTGATTTTTTATCACATCCTGAATCTCACATTAAAGCCAACTCAATCTGTACACATGCTGGCACAAGTTACACAAAAATTAAGAATTTGAAAGTAATAGGAATCTTAAGCACAACGTTTTCTACTTGTTTTTCACTTCCTTTACACTTAAATCTGTGGACATAACTGGATTAACAACAGTGTTGTCAGTTTTAAAGGGGCCTGTTCTCAACAAAAACTGGATGTGACAGGTTCAACACAGCATGCCTGATCTGAGAAATGGCTCCCCTTTTACAAAGTCCCAGTGGGGCCCTTCACCTGATGAGGATGAATAGTCAGTTCACCTCATCTTGTTACTTCAAACTGAGAGAAAACAACAAGCGGAATAGTTCAGTTACGAGTCAGTATGCATTTTTGTAAATACTTTCAGAAAAGAAAGAAAGAAACCTAAACAAAAAATATTTCACCTCTCTAAATATGTAAATATATATATATGACATTGTTGTTGCTTATTATGTTATAAAGTAGCTAAATTCCAGACTATCAATACATACATCTTTTCTGACAAAGTTTTACATCACAAAAAAATGAAATCCCCAAGGTTTTCCTTACGAAACTAAAATACTGCTTATTTATCCAAAGTATTTGCTCTCCCAAAAATAATGTATTTACTTTTTTTTACTTTTTCCTATTAAAATGCATTACTAACATGTATAAATACAAATAAGGCATAAAAATATTGAAGAACGTAGTTTTTGAAAAAGTAACCTCCATTTGGACCAGATTAACATAATTTACATTGTACTATCTTCTCCTTCTGCTCTCTCAAGAACGTTCACTCTGCTCTTTCTAGAGGTGTCAGCTAGAAGACAGAATGAAGTGCCAGGTCATTGTGTACTGCCTCTATTGTGTGTTTAGTATTAGCATGACAGAAGTGCCACTCGACTTCTCCTTCATTCATTAAGACTGAGAAGCCTAGTCCCACGTCTGCCTTGAAATGAACTAAGCACCACGGCTGCCATCTTGGATCTCTAGAACTCTTGTAGCACAGTATAAAAATTCACTATTTTCTCAATGATTCGTTTCTGTGAGAGGCTGACCTTTTTTAAGGTGTTGGGGGGAGGGCAAATTCTATTATATTTTATAGCATAATACCTTATTGCTCTTTTGTATTTGGAATGCTAACTAGGTATCAAGCTGGTATTGTTATATTAAACTTAACAGAACAAAGAGGCATATGGAATCTAAGAGGAGATTTGTACTACCCAAGTGCTACTCACACTGAGAAGCAAACTCTTTTGAGCAGCGACAAGCCCACTTACACACACAGTAGCAGGCTGAGTGCGTTTGTGATGGCTACTTGAGGCTTCATTCACACGAACACCGCTTTTTTCCTTGTCAGCCTGAGTGAAGACTTTAAATAAACACTCAGGCTTTGAACAAATAAGCCAGTCTCTTGGCTCATGCTCAACTCTGATCCTGTTTAAAGACAACCTCATTTGTTTCCTTAGATGTTGAGAGTCTCTGGGAACCTAGACTAACTCCCTCTGTAAACATTTATGTTTACAAGGTCAAGTGCAGGCACAGACAGAGCCAAAATGTTTGACTAGCACATGCTCATGATAAAGACTTTGGTAACATTTATAAACTGCAGGAGATGTCAGGTGGAAATTAAAGCTTTTTTGATGATGGCAGACACGGAACATTATTGACTAAATTACTTTATAGTGACTTGGGATATTTAAAGCTCATTTTATAGCATATTATAACATTTCATGAATCTGCTTTCGAGTGTACAATAGAAAGTAAAAACATACATTAATTTACCTGACATCAGATCTGCATGTAAAGTTGTTGTATTAGTTTGTATAGTGAAATAATCAGACACACAAGTCAGATGATCTTTGGAATAATTTGAAGCCAATCTTTATGAACATTATAAACAGTATTGTTTATCAACATTATTCACACAATTATATGATACAGAAACATTATACACATTTACAATTATCATTTTGTTTACACTAACCAATCTTTCATACAAAAATAAACTAACAATATTTATTTATCTCTTTGAATAGCAGTTTCCACAATAGTTCATAACTTAATATACAGTATACTAGCAGAGCATATATTTCCAACATATTTTCTTTAGCCTACATAAAAGACAAATTACTCCTTTTCATGGTGTGCGGATTTTGGTGTGCAACTAGGTTTTTAAAAACAAACTTTCACTATGGGATTCTGGTTTTCTTCTTTATTTTTATCCAGTGAGCTGTTTCTCTCATGTACCTGTACATTTTAAGCGCCTATAAGCAGAAAACAGGGCTTTCTAGCCAAGTCCCAACCCCCCAAAAAAACTAAAAGTTCGAGACTAACATGTTTTGCCCATTGAAACATAGGCTACTTCACGCGGGGCAGCTAATACGACCAAATACACTGTGCGAATTATTCCATTACTCTTTCAGGGGACTATTTTTCTGTCAGTAATTTACGATATGAGATTCGTGTCGTGGTGCGCCCGCACTTCAACTAAAGACGTTCTATACAAAACACAAAAGGTCTTGTCATATTTTTGTGTGTAGGCTACATCTACAATAAAGTGATAACATGCTACTTTTATCGCGGGAAAGTGATCACGTAGCGCTACTGTTGCTTTTAGTAACCTTGAGACTTCCCAAGTGTCTTAATACTTGGACTAAAACGTCGTATATATACACACTTGTGTATATAACCCCCTCCACACACACACACGCACCTTTTGTTTTTACTTTAATGTCTGGGGGGGAGGGGGTGTCAGGGCTTAATTTTGGGCCCTAACCATTATTTCCACCCAGGCCAAATATGCAGTTAATTCTGAAAACATGCCCTATCTTACTATAACAAGAGAAGAAAGTGTCAAAATGGTGGACACCACAATCGAACTCTTTTGTGCTCTTAAATCCCAGGCATCACTCTCCTCGTCCTCATAATCCGTCTCGTATTCGTAGTCCAAGTCGTCCTCGGTATCTGAAAAGCCACTCCCGCCGTACCGGTCGTTAAAGCAGAAGTTTTTCATGCTGCCTTTGACATACTCGCATATGGTCCTCTCTGTGCCGTCGCACACGCAAGTGTCCAGCTGCTGGGCTTTAGGGATGGAGCGCATGTTCGTGATGACCCGCCGGCAGTCGTCAGAGCAGCGCTCTCCGCCGAAGAGTTTCCTGCAGTGATACAGATAGTCCCGCATGGCGGTGCTGCACTCGGGATCCTTCTCACACTGCTTACGCGCTTCGGTGCAGCCCATGTGGCTCGTTCTGGGCATACAGGGCTCAATGGCTCTCTTGGTCATTTTGCATAGAGTGTCCGAGGCGCACTCGCAGTCCTCCAGTGCCGGGCCGTTCACAGTCAGATTGAGCTGAATGATGGAAGAAATGCAATGGCTGGGACATTTCTTCCTGTTGCCGTTTATCACCGGACCGCACGCGTGTAGATACTGTGTGTACGCGTAGTGACACTCCGGTTCTCCTTGGCACTTCATGATGGCTTGCCAGCATATCAAACGCTGGTTGCGTGCCGGTAATGCGGTGGATAAACGACTATAACATACCAATGCACAGCCGATGGACAAAATCAATATTTGCAGCCGTAGAATGACTGGAGAGTTGCCAGAATTTGCCATTCCTTTATGACGCAGAAGCTTAAAAGTTAATTATTAGGTCAAGGGATTCCATTTGTTGGTTTATACCCCATAATGTTTCTCCACCAGAGACTGAGATAAACAACTCCTCTTGTTCCATGCCCACCGTCTAGCCGCGTTCTTCTATTGACCACTTCAGATAGTTAAGTATGCTCATATTTGTTCCTTCGATATCCGCAGAAACGTGTATCGAAACTCCTCCATGGACAAAACACCAAATGGTTGGAAACGAATCACATTTGCTCACTGAAAGCAAAACGTGCAGCAACACTTTGAAGCTCGTCGAGTCTTTATTCTCGCTGCTCTTTGTGCAGTAATCCAGCGAGGAATCAACGGTTTATAAATTACATCAAAACATCCCAAAAGCGATCTCACACTGCATCTTGTTCAAATAACAAAGCTGGAAAAAGTTCAACTCACTCTGACTCCTCTCTCTGGGATGTCTTGTTGGATCTGTTCAGTTACCCGGACCCCAGAAGTATGCATGCAGCACACAATTGGTCTGATCAGTTGTTGTGATTTCTGACGTCACTTGGAGGGTGGAGGTCCGAACTTGATGAAGGTCGAGAATGTGGAGAGGGTGCGGGCCGTAATTTGACTTGATAAAGCGTCAGACCCCGCCTACGGTGACACAGTGCTAAAATATTTTGGCTATGAAAGTGCATTGCATGTCCCTGCCCAGTCCTCAGTACCCTAACAGCAATGCTAGCTATTTTCAATTTTAAGTAATTATGTGTAATTATTTGAACTTATTTAGCCTTCAGCCTGTCTTAAGAAGTGTTTTAATAAGTATTCATGTATCTGCACTCCAGGGGCAGTTCTAGACCAAAGTAACTGGGGGGGGGCACTTGTGCTTTTAGGGGGCACAATTTTAAAATTCATCTTTAAGTATTATTCGTCCAGTCATTTTTCACCATGTCATATATCACTGCAATCTCTAGAAGTAATCTATAACAATTTCAACTAAAATGAATGTTTCATCATGTTTCATTTATTTGACAAATAATTTTGTATTGTAGTGTCAGGGGTATCATGCACTCATTATTTTTGAGGGGGCACAAGTGAAGGGGGGGGGCTCATGATTGTCATGTGACACACAGCAGCCACAATACCACTGTATAACTGATATAGGCGTATGTCCCTACTGAAAAATAATAAAACCATCACAGAAAATTTTAATGGTTTCCACAAATGAACCATTAAAATTTTTGACAAATAATTTCGTATTGTAGTGTCAGGGGTATCATGCACTCATTATTTTTGAGGGGGCACAAGTGAAGGGGGGGGCTCATGATTGTCATGTGACACACAGCAGCCACAATACCACTGTATAACTGATATAGGCGTATGTCCCTACTGAAAAATAATAAAACCATCACAGAAAATTTTAATGGTTTCCACAAATGAACCATTAAAATTAATTAACCAATTAATGGTCCCCCCCTCCCGGCCACCCCCTAGAACCGCCCCTGCTGCTGCACTCCAAAGAAATATCATGGAGGAACAACTTTTATAGGGAAATATTTGAGTTCAAGGTATGACAAAAGACCATCAGTTAATTTATAATTTTAGTTTGTTTGATTTAAAAATGGAATGATATTGATACTTTGAAATCTCAGAGAAATAACTTAATCCATTGCTTTCATTCACATTTCATTGACGTTTTTAGGGGAAATTATCAGGTCAAGTTTGTTTTAAATACCCATAAGAAAATAAAACATAATTCACTTAAGATCAGTTGAAAGATTTCTAAATGAAATAACATGGCAGAGTGTGTGTGTGTGTGTGTGTGATCTTATTTTTTAATATGGTTTCATTTTGCATTGGTTTATGTCTCTCCATGTTTGTACAATCCATAATGAATTTAACAGGCATTTTGCAGACAGTTGTTTTATTTTATTATCTTTATTTGGAGAATTGGATTTGTCTGTTTAAACAAAAGGATTTCAGAGATGTTTTTGCGATCATCACTTCTCCATTTTGATGCATGATCCGATGATTTTAGTGTTAATATTCCAGGTTCATATGTTGTCAGTGGGTCTCATTCAATAAGTCCAAAATCTACACAACAATTATTAAAGATTTGTCCAAAAGTTAAGGCATGTGGACACATGCTTCTCTATTAGAAACACTTGTAGGAAGTTCACTTAGGTGATTTCTGTGATGACATGCATTGGCCATTGCATTTGGTCAGCAGATGATTGCATATCCTTTGATCCTCTCTGGTTGGGTTGATTGCCTAAATGGAGCAAAATAACAGCTGTTCCAACACACATCTTTTATTTTTCCTTCTGTTCTCACCTCAAAACTTTCCTGTCCCCTCATTATGTACTCCACAGTATTATACAAAAAGCCCTTTCTCGTTCATGTTCAACATCCAGATAGTTGCAGGTCTGCATTTTGAGAGATTTAATCAGTTAAACTATATAATTATATAAAATTATAAATAGATGTTACACATTTGATGCATATCTATTTTTGCTTTCCATTTCTCAGTATCTGATTATGATCATCACCTGGCCCAGATCTGCAGAAAGAGAAGGGGCAGTTTTTGAAGAACAGAGTGGACTGTGTTATCCATGCTACACTGACCCTATCACACTGCAGCGCTCAAACCACAAAGCTCGGGCAGCTGGCCAAAAATGCCCTCTACCCCACTCCCACCTTTCAACATTTTCTCCTTTTTCCAATTAGAGAGATTAGATGGCCCATTTGGGAGGAAGGGAGCAAACAGTCTCATTCAAATTCTCTAACATTCCACAGAAAAACTGTAATACAGCTCATCCATTTCTCACATAGCTTTCTCACAAGCATGTTCTTGTTGAAGTAAAGAAATTAAATTTTGAACTGATTGGAAATGAGAAAAGTGCTGCAGTTTTGCTATCTGGTGTGATTTCATTTAGTAGAACGTGAAAGTTTAAAATAATAGATCAATAAAATCACAAAGTATTACCCAACAAGTAATGAAACTGCTTGCCTGACACTGAGAAAACAGAATATGAGCCCTGCACATTTTCGTTCACACACAGAGGACTCCAAGCAACTCCAGAGCTCAAGGCTTCACTCCTCACAAAGGATGAAATTGTTCAATCTGCTGAGACTATTACTGCAAGATGTTGGCATTTCCTTTTCTTATAGAGAGAACTGCTGTGAAATGTATTCAGAATCTCTCTGAGGAGTCGGTTGTCCCCTCTTGCCAAGCTGTCAGACCTGTTTATCATTATTTGCTGAAAAGTAGCCCAGGCTTTGCAATCAGGGGAAAAACTAAAAGAGAACTTTCAGTGGAAAGACCTGGATCTCAGATGTGTCTAATTATTTGCATAATTTCAGTTCTAGAGAAGTTCTAGCTCTTTTCGTGCACGCATGCTGCTGAAATCTATAGCCTGAATCATGTCAGTGTTGGACGCAGGCCAGAAATGAAGTGGGCCAAATTTTCTCTTGTTCAGATGAAGTCTGAGGCATGAACAGACAACTCTTGTCCTTCATAACTTTAACCAGTTGCATACTTAAAACTATTATAGGTATAAACTACAAAAGTGCCATTCCTTTAATGAATATCATATTACTTTATACAGTTTTCCTTATGGTCAAAAGAGCTATTGAAAAGTACCAAAGTAAAGAAATCACAATACATGAAGACATTTACTTTATATAACACAGAATTTCCTTTTTCTATCGAAACTGTTTTGTACTGTTGCCCACAGTGGCAATAAGTCATAACAACTCTAGATTAGGAATGCTGAGTTTTTTTGTTTGTTTTTTTGGAAAGAGGGCACATGGCTTTCTCAGTGCTCAAGAAGTCTCAGTCTTCACGTCTCCACCACTGTCACAAATGATTACACACGCTGAAGCCTCATTGCCAAAAACATATTCATCAGGACCTCCCTCGTCAAGAAGCTCTCAAAGGCACAGCGATTGCACACTATGATATTAGTTTGTTGCCAAAACGGCCTGGCTCCACCAAGCTGATTTAATGGAAACAGCTGTTAACTGTCTTTCCGCTACTTTCACTGGTCTGTGTTTGCTTAACTGTCTGCTTTTTTCATATCTTAAGCAAATGTTTCTGAATGAGCTGTTGCAGCCATTTCCCGGGTCTTTTATTAGGAGGACCCTCTCTAAAGCTCTTTATACAAATACCATCTGTTGAACTGAGCAAATACTTTAGATGGAATTCCCCTCTTTGAAACTCCATGATTGTAATGTGTGGCTAAGGTCTAGTATGTCACACATTCATCTTGTCTATCATAATAAAACTTTTTGTGTGTGTAAAAAGCCATATTGTATAGTCAACCATCTCAGCTAAAAGCTTTAAATGGATTGTTGGCCCTTTGCTGTCCTCACTTAGACAACCTCTAAAGTGCGCTTGACCCTAAAATAATGGTCTGGTAATATTTAAACAGTAAAGCATCTGTAAAATGAATAGAACAGAACCGAGGGCTGATGTCAAAGTGGTAACGCTGTTTTCTTTAACAGAATTTGTAATAATTTACCAAACTTTTAATCACGTCTTTGAAACAATCGTCATTTAATGTTTAGTTGTTTGCTAGCCAGAAAACAGTTTATAAATACTAATAAATCTAAATGGAAGGCCCCAAACATGCTGAATATTTTTCACTTGCTCATCCTTTATTGAAATAGGATGCTGAATAAAATTGACCCCAGATTCTCATTTTGTTACATCAAAATAAGTACAGCACTACTTAGATGTCATTGTTTTGAATAGTCTAAACATACACTTATGCAATTTCTGTGACTTTTGAGAGCTTTGAAAATGAACCATGTGCTTCTTTCCCACTGATAAAATTGTAAAAATGAGTTTATCTTTAAACTGATATACATCAGCACTGCTGTTGGATGTACTTCAAGTCCACATATATTTACAGTAATAACATATAGTTTGGGCATGAAGTCCAAATGGAAATTGTGCTTTTTTTTCTCTATTATGTATCTGATAGAAGTTGCTTATCGAATGACAGAATGCAGAGCGGGACTTGATTTTGTCCAAT